TAGAATTTAGAGAATAGAGTGATTATTTTTAGAGAAAATTTGGTACAAGTGATCATTGGGAAGAGTTAGTGATTTGCGTCTTCCTCTAATATATTTATATTTTAATTATATTTAATTATCACACCCATTATGTACTAACTATCATACCCATTACGTACTAACTGTCATACCTATTATGCACTAACTGTCATATTTATTACACACTAACTATCACACCCATTACATACTAACTGTTATATCTATTATGCACTAACTGTCACATCTATTATGCACTAATTGTTACACCTATTATACACTAACTGTTATATCTATTATACACTAACTATCATATCTATTATATACTAACTGTCATATCCATTATATATTAACTGTCATATCTATTATGTACTAACTGTTTATATCTATTATATATTAACTATCATACCTATTATATATTAACTGTCACACCTATTACACACTAACTGTCACACCTATTATGTACTAACTATCACACCTATTATGTACTAACTGTCACACTCATTATGTACTAACTGTCATACCCATTACGTACTAACTGTTATATACTAACTGTCATATCTATTATGCACTAACTATCATATCTATTATGCACTACTGTCACATCTATTACACATTAACTGTCATACTAACTGTCATACCCATTACGCACTAACTATCATACCTATTATGTACTAACTATCATATTTATTATGTACTAACTATTATATCTATTATGCACTAACTGTCATATCTATTATATACTAATACAAAATATATAATGATCAACTATAAATCATATATTAATAATATGGGCTGACATTTAAGCAAATCAGTTAGACTGATTTTAACAAAATCTCTGTTTATATTAAATAGGTTTAAAAACAAGCTATTGTATCAAAATTGTTATCAAATAAACCAAAAAATTCTAAAACTATAAATTTTTTTAAATTTACTAATTTAATTTGAATATTTGGTTTAGATAATACTCAGAAATTTATTGATCACAAATTAGAAAATTATAAGTCAAATTCTAAAATATATTCTGGGCTTGAATATTTATTAAATTATTTAACTAGAATTTAACTACAAATAACCGGTAGTAATCATCACCAGTATGTAATTAGCCAATAACGATAAATAAAAAAAATTTCATTTCATTTGTTTTAGGGTTAGAGTGATGTCTAGGATTTTGGCAAGGTATTAAATATATACAAAATTTAGCAAGAAATTTTGTTTGCTAGAATGTCGAAGGTAGTTTCATAAATGGATTCTTGAGATATTAGCATTTTTTTAAAAAAAATTTTTTTATTTTTGTTACACACCCTAATTTGCATATTACATCTGATCTTGCAAATTTATTGGCTAATTACACACCGGTGATGATTACTGCTAGTTATAGTTAGTAAAATTCATTTAACTATATATTTAAATTCAACAAAACAAATTAATATAAATAATTATATAATTAAAATATATAGCTCAGTAATTTTAAAAAGAAAATAATTAATAAACACTACAGGTGATGATCACCTGTGATTTACAATATATAATTTCATGTAACATAAACAAATAAACAATTTAATATGTAAATAAAAAATATTTTTTTTGGAACTTTAGGGTAAGGATTAGAGTTCGTATTGGGATTAGAGTTTAGTAAGATTTATAGTAAAATTTCATGCGAATTTTTTTACTTAGTGTCTCAAAAGTGGTTTCATAAGCAAAATTTTAAGATAATTTTATTACAGGTGATAATCACCTGTGGTGTAAATTAGAAATTTTCTTTTAAAAAATAGGTCTATAATTCAAACAACAAATAATTTTTATAAAAAAGTCTGGTATAGTAATGTAGCAGTTGCTATAAATTCTAAAGAACTATTTAAATATTTATCAAATCAAAGAATTTGTTATAGATAGGTATTTGTTATATTTTATTTTTTTTAAATTTTTTAAAAGAAATTAAATTAAAATAACCAGTGGTAATAATCACTATGTAATATAATAATCATTATAACACGTGATTCTGTATTTAAATCTATATATAGTGATAGAGATCACTTGCTTATTTGTTTGTAAAATTACATGATTATATAATTTTTGTATAGTTTATTTGTTCTTCATATAGTTTATTTAACTTTATTACAAATTGCTATTGTTCGCTTAATAGTTATTAATAAATGAATTTTAACATATCTTATTCTGTTAATAAATCTTGCTCTCTTTACTAGTCTTTATTGGCCGTGATCATATTTTTACTTTCTCTTGTTCTCTTTACTAGTCTTTTTTGGCCATGATCACGTTTTTACTTGCTTTTGTTCTCTTTACTAGTCTTGATTGGCCATGATCATATTTTTACTTGCTGTTTTTTAGTTACTGTTCTTTAGTTACTGATATTCATTGTAGCTTTAGCAATGCATCGTACTTTTATTGTTACTTTTTGCTATTACAATTTTTTTCTTTACTGCCTTACTTTATATTAACGTACTTCTGTGCTATACTTTTTCTTGCTGGTACTTTTTACTCTTTGTAGCTTTCATGATGTGTCGTGATTTCTTCTAGTCACTTTTTTTTTATTGCCATTTGTTTGTTGTTATTGTGTCTTTAGTGGTATTTTATTTTATTTTCTTCTTTGCTATTGTCTGTTCCTTTGGTGCTATTTTTTTTTTGCCACTTTTGGCTATTGTTCTATAATTTTGTACTATTTTTTTTTTATTGCACGTCTGTGATTTCTTCTAGTTAGTACTTTACTTTATCATATATTGTGCCTTTAATGCTATTCTTTCTTTTTTTTTTTGTTATATTTTCTTTTCTTTGTCTTTCGCTATTTGAAGAATAGCTTACAAAGGGTTTATAGAAGGTAGGAGTTAATAATGCTGCTTGACTAAAATGATAAATTTCTAATTTTAAGTACTTAAAAATTTAGATCTAATAGAATTTACAAGTAGGCTTCAGAAAACTATGAATAGTACAAGCATAGAGTTAACAACTTCTAAAACAAATGAAATACTAGAATTATATATAGAAATTGAACAAGATCTTCAAATTTCAGTAGATAGCACAAGTATAGAGTTAACAACTTCTGAAACAAATAAAATACTGGAATTATATATGGAAATTGAACAGGATCTTCAAATTTTAGTGGGTACTTTATTTTTATTATGAGATTTAGCTAAAATTTGTCTTAACAACTATCAAATTAATATGAGATTATATATATTTGTTTCAGTAGTTTTAATTTTGATTAATAAATATATCTAAAAATTA